TTTTACACACAAAGGGGCCATTTGGAGAGAATTGGAAAGGCTGTAAGGCAGTCAAAGGCAAATTGAAAAAAAAATAGGAGGAGGGAAAAGACAAACAAAATGAAATTTTTTAGAAAAATATTGAGAAAAAGCAAAAAAATTTCTGTCCGTTTTTGACTGTTAATATGTTGCTTTTAATATTTTATTTTTTCCTTTTTTGAACAAAAAAGGAAAAACAAAATTCTGGAATTAATAATGAAATTATTTATGCACTCTTTAGTTTAGTGGATTGAGTGAATTGATGCGCAAATTAAGTACTAGAACGAAAAAGGAAATGAAAAAGAAGAAAAAAAAAGAGAAAAATATTTTTTATAAATAAAAAATATTGAAGATTTCCGGATTTTGTTTTATACATATAGTGAATATGAAGGAATATTCAACGAAATCAACGAAATATTTATTGGAAGCTAAATATTGGAAGCTAAAAATATAATAAATAACATATTTATTTACTATGATTAGTAGAATAATTAATTTTTGATTTAGTTTTCTGATTTGGCACGCTTTTCAAAGGCAAATCTAAGAAGGAAAATTAGTAGAGATTTAATTGATATTGAACTGATCAAATTAATCTCGATAGAAATATTAATTAGAAATCCAAAGCTTTATATATACAGAGTATACATTAAAGAATTATTTAGATCGTCTAAGAATTAAAGAAGGAATTTTGGTCTAGCCGACAGTTTTTTTGAAGTTAGTGTTTCTAATAGCTTAATTGCAATGATCAGATATTGGAATCGAAGTTTGGGATTTATGTAGAAGTATTTATTTTTTTCCATATTCCATATCTAAATTTGGTAATAGTACAAAAATAATTTTTATAAAGAGAATGCCCGAGGAATTTTTTTGCTCTTTTGCAAATTCGAGAGGCACTTGAAAGTGAATATTTTTAGTATAATAATGTTTAAAAGGGGATCTGAATGAATAAAATGATGAAAATGGATGTAGAGATTTTTATAAAAAATATTTATTTAAATTTATTTGGATTTGTGGTTATAAATAAATAATAATATATTTTTAGAATTAATATTAATTTACTAAAATATTAATTACATAATTAGAAAATTATATTTTAAAAAATTTTCAAGATATTTTATTTTATTCTTTTATTATATTTATCAAATTCAATCTTTTTTTTTGTTTTTTTTTGTTAGTTAGTGTCTTTGATATTTTAAAATAAAAAAAGTTAATATTTACAAAATCGGTGAAATAAAGATTTCAAAAATCTCAGTAAAGACGAATAGGTAATTAAATTTAAATAAATTTAATTTAAAAGATTTATTACAAAGAAGATAATCTGAATGAAAATAAATAAATAAAATGATATTTGAGAGCTTTTGTTAAAGAAAAAATGTAAAAAATTATTTTTGTTTCGAGTGTCAATGAGTGAGAGGCTGACGTTTGAAGGTCGAAATGTGTAAATAGGCTGGCGCGAACAGCTAGAAATTTTTAGAGGAGAAAGAAAAATTTATTTAATTTTTTTGTTATTCTTATTGAAACGAGCACAAAATAAATTTGAAAACAAGATTTGTTTAGAAAAATTGAAAAAATAATTTTTTTTTTTGAATTTGGAACGAACAGACAATAAATTAAAAAAGAAAAAAAAAGAAATTTATAACAAAACTGACTATTATTATTCTATTAAATATTTTCATAAAAAATAAAGATATACGAATTCAAGGTGTTCGTGAATCGGGTTATCATGATCCGTCATAAAAGGTAATTAAATCATTATCTGAAATTGAATTAAAAAATATTTATTTATTTTAAACCATAATTTAGAGACAAATAACTAGTAGACAATTTATTGGACTATGTTTCTTTAATGCAAATTAGATGATTTGTCTACTTAATGAATATCAAGATTAAAGGGTTTAATGCTCATTCAAAAATATTTATATATTTGCAATTATGTCCCAAGGGGTGTCAGTCATAAGAAAGTTCGAGGTTTCACATGATTTTATAGAGAAGACTACAACCAAAAACTGCAATAAAATTTTTATATCAAAAGATTTTTATTTATTATATTTTCTAGAATTGTCTTAAAAATAATTTAAACTGTACCATAATTAAATAAGTATTTATAAACTAAAATTTGTTCAGAGTCCATTCCAACAAAATTAACTAATAAATCATTCTCTCAAAATTTTCTTTATTTAATTTTGTTTAAGTAAATGAAAATCACGGGAACGTTAAAAAATTCTTTCCTTCAAATTTAGAATTACAAATTAATTTTAATTTCCTAAAAAATTTGTCAAATATTCAGCCAGTTTCTAACAATTTTTTCAATATTGTTTTTCCGATTAGTTAAATAAAATGAAGAAGAATATCAAAAAAAAAAATTTTCCAAATTAGTCAAATTGAAAAATAAAAAAAATTATTGTTAAGAATGATGTAATAAAGAACAAGGACGAATAAATGCTCAAAATTATGGGCATAGAATCGTTATTTTTGAGATATGATCAGAATCTTGATAAATCCCGAGCCTGGTTTCTAGCAATAATTAATTTTGGTAATTTAGTATATCAGCCGGATCTCAGTTTAGAAAATAACAAATGGATGGATGAAGGCTTTCCAAATTAAAGCATCTGAAACGGTGGTTTACTTTTTATTTTTAAACAATAAATTTATTGAAAAATGTACATTTTTATTAAAAATAAATATGTAACCTATTAATTATGTTTAACAGAATTTAGTGAATTATGTAGCTATAATATATTAATAATCAAAATTTTTGAATTATATTAAAAAATTTTTAATTAAAAAATTTTATTAAAATTTTTTTTGTATATTTCCGTTAAAAATTAATTATTTTAAATTAGTCGTTTGTTTGCGCTGAGATTTTGTATTTTAATTAAAATAAAAAATTGATCATTGATACAATTAGAAAAAGAGGATTTGGAGGAGAACGGGGATGATTAATAAATAAAAAAAAAGAGAATTAAAAAAATTGATGAATGACTACAAATATATAACCGGTTTTTATTTGATCTCGAAACGAAATAAAAATTTTGGTAAATAGGAGAATGCAATTTAATGACAATTTCTGTTTAAAATTAGGAAAAAAAATTAGAATATAAAATTTTGTGAAGTATAGTAATTTTGATTGTTAATTTAGTTATGAAATCTAAAGCATTATTTAAAATAAAGTTGATATAAATTCTTAATTAGAAACCTTTATTTTTCAATGATTCTTAATTTTTGTGGAGTATTTGTTAAGTCAGAAATTTTTCTGCTCTAAATTTTAGACCTGAATATTTTTTCTTTACAAAATTCTTCTCAATCCTGTGAACAAAATACTAATATTAAAACATAAATTAAATTTTTATTTAATTATAATTAAATTATTTTTTTAAAGTAGTTAAAGGTATTCGAATAAATTAATTTTATTTAATTAATTATTTATTTATTTATATTTTAAATTAAAAAATTACCAAATTTTAAGTTGAATTAAAAAGTAATTTTTGATTTTAACTGAAGAGGTGAAAAATGGCAAAAATTAAATAAAGCAATTAAAATATTTGAAACAAATCCACTTTAAAATTTAAAAATTTTTTAAATTTAAAAGTGGATTTTTTGAGAGAATTAAATTTAAAAAATGGCAAAGATTTAATAATATTTTTAGAAATACTTGAAAATTATTTAAAAAATATTTCCAATGTTTACTTTATTTTAAGTTAATTTATCCAAACAAACATTTAAAACAATTTATTTAAATAAAAAATTAATTAAAAAAATATCCACTTGACATTAATTTTAAATTAAGTTTAAAAATAATTTCAATTTATTGCCTTGCCAAGCGGATTTGAGATTTTGGATAGTGATCAAATAAAATAACAAAATAGTATTTCTTTATGGAAAATTAAAATATTTATTGGATTTGTTTGGAGATTTTTTAAAGAACAGTTTCTGTGGTTATGTATTCGTTTTGAGAAAAGTTGAACAAAAACAGAAGAATAGTCAAAAGATTTGAATAATAAAAACAAGTAAAAATTTAAAAATTACAAAAAATAATTTATAATAATTTCTAATAATTTATCATCATTTCAATTATTTTCATCTTGCATACTGTTGTCTATTTGCTGGTTTGATTTCGAAAAATCCCGAAAAACCAAATCTAAAAAAGTTTTTAAATAATTTTAAAATTAAAGATTTGGTAGAACCTTGACTTCACACATATTTTCATCTTCAAGGATATATTTACAATAGAGATTAACATGTTTACACATAAATTACTTCAAAATTATTTTATTTAAAACTTTATTTTATACGAAAATTACAATTGAAAATCATTATAATTTAACAAATTTTACTGTTTTTCATATTTATGCAAAGGAGCTAATTATATTAATTTTTTTATAATTTTTGTAAAATATTTATTAATTTTGATAAAAATATATATAAATTTCATAATTTTATTTTTTTAATGGCTCCATTCCTTTTAATAATTTGTTTATCAATTTTTCTTAAAATTATCAGTAAATAACCAAAAAGCTGGCGTTAACCCACAAACTAAAAATATATTTATTTTTATTGATCATTTTAAATAATTTAATTTAAAATTAAAATGTGTCATAAGTAAATTTTATTTGTCAATTAATCCTTATCTTATTTGACATATTTCAGCGTTTTTATATAAAATTAAATTAATTATTTCAATTTTTATTTTAAAATTTTTAATTAATTGAAAATTAGAATTTCGAAATAATAAATATATATTTTTCTAATATTTAATAAATTTTTATGATTTAGGAAAAAAAAACTAGGGACTATCAATATAGTCATTAAGTAAACTACCTTATAGATTTGTTTGTTTAAAATATTATTTTGCTTTATGAAAAATTTTTTATTTAATTTTTAAATTTTTATTTTCGAATATTTTATAAAAATTTACCCCTCTTAACTTGGTGCGAAAGATAGTTATAGTTTTATTTAAATTTAATTATTAAAAGATTTAAAAAGAAAAAAATGAAAGCTAAATTGTTAATATCCTTAATATTTTCTCTTTTTGTTTTTGTTAAAAATGATAGTAATTGGCGTGATAGTTGGGAAGATTCTTCTTTTGAAGATGAAGATTATGATCCAGAATCTAAAACTCAGGCTAGTTTATAATTAAAAAACCATTGAAGAAGCTTCTGTTGAAATACATAAGTGTACCATTGCTTTTGTATAGAAATTAAATTAAACTTTCTTAAATATTTTTAATTTTTTGTTTGGAAAGGTGAGGGGTTATCCTGAATAAATAAATAATTTTTATTTTATATATGTACATACATATAATATAATTTTGTATTTTAAGTATTCTAGCAAAGAAAAACAAGCACCAGCTCGAATTTATGTATGCGATAAGTCCAAAAGTAATTTATTTTTATTATTTTTTAAAAAAAATTAAAAAGAGGAAAGTGTTTGTGAATGTATTCGTGGCGGGAATCAAACATTAAAGTGTGGAGCTCAAGGCTTAAACAATGCCAATTTAATTGTGCCAAAAGAAATAGGGTCTATAGCTATTGCACATTTGGAACGTAATTATATTAGTTATCTTTTTAAGGTATTTAAATTTTATTTAAATAATATCTAGTTAATATTTAGGTCTCTATAATAAGGACTCCAAGGCTCGGGATAATGTGAAAATAGTAGAAAAGTGAATAACAAAATTTAAAGATTAGACTGATGAATCCTCTTATTTTAAATTTTTATACCCTTTTTTACTTGAGTATCTTAAATGTAGCACTAAACCTAAACTTAAGAACACATATTTAAAATTAAAAAAAAACTTTTCAACAGAATAAAATACTTCCTGGCCAAGAAAAATCTTTACTTTCATTGGACCTTTCTCAAAATAGAATTGCTGATATAGAGCCTGGTTCTCTTGACAATTTTGTTAATTTATTAGAATTAAAATTAACTCAAAATAATTTGGACGAGCTAAGCGAGTATGTGTTGACTTTAAATTAAAAAACAAATTTTTTGAGAAGAATTATTAAAATTTTAGGAGAAATGATAATTAAAATAATAGAAAATAATTAATTTTAAAATTAAATAAATATTTCTTTAATTTTAGTGATATTTTCACAAAATTCCTTGGATCCTTACATCAATTATATTTGGATTATAATTTTTTAAGTATTAATAACTATTAAAAAATAATTTATAATTAATATATTTCTAAAGGTAAATTGGATGATGGTGTATTTAACAACCTTAAAAGTCTTCGAAAATTAATACTTGATGGAAATAAAGAACTGGAAATTTCAAAAAAAGTTTTTAAAAAATTAATTTAAATGATCATTTATTTATCTAGGTTTTATCTCCATCACTTAAAAATTTGGAAATTCTCTCCCTCGATCGCTGCTCTTTAGACAAATTAGATGATGATTTGTTTGAAAATTTGCCGTAAGTCTAATAATTTTGGGAGAAATCTAATATTTTATTAATTTCTGTTAATTTTATTTATAAAAAATAAATTTTAAAATAAAAAATATAAAAAAAATATTTTGTTTAAATAAATAAAATCTAGGTGTTTTAAGTTCAAAAATAATTTAAAAATAGCTTTAATGAGTTTAAAACAATTTTAAAGCAATCTTCGAGCTCTTTCATTATCTGGCAATCCACTTCGTTCTATCCCCAAAGCTATATCTCCAGAAAAGTTACCAAAACTTGAAATACTTGTAATGTCAGATACTTACTTGGAGGCACTCAATAATGGGGAATTGGCTGCAGCGGCGCCTAAACTTAAAAAATTTTGTAAGGAAAATTAGAATTAATTTTTAAAGGAAGAAATAATGTTTATTTAATTTCTAAATTAAGATATGCAAAAGAGTCGTTATCTAAAACGAATTGACAATTGCGCATTTTGTGGATTAAAACAACTTGAGGTTATTTAAAAATATTTTATTTCGAAAATAGTTGATTATATCGTGGTAAAAGACAACATTTTAAATTTATCATTGTTCCAATTTCAATTGGACAAATAATATACTACTAAATTTTCTTTTAAATATAATAAAATATTTATTATCCACATTAATTTAGAGCCTAGACTTCTCAGAATCAAAATCTCTAAACGAATTAGATGCCAATGCTTTTGGAAAATCAGCACCAAAGGAATTAAAACAAATAAACCTCAAAAACTGTAATTTTACTAATTTACATGAAGGGACACTTAAAAATGTTTATTGGAGTACAATGCAAAGATTGAGACTTGAAGGAAATCCTTGGGTAATAAATATAAGGGAATAAAAAATAAAATTTTAATAGAATTGTGATTGTGAACTTAAATGGCTAATGCAAAATGAAAATGCAATGAGAACGGCTGCTGAATTTGAAATACCCAAGTTTGTATTATTTGAGTATTATGTTAAATATCCTCTTCCTTTTTTTTGATGTAAATTACCAGAAAATGTTAAAGGTCTAAGCCTTTATGAAGCTCAAGCAAAAATTGAATGTGGGCCACCCCTTAAGAGTACATCACCGATGGCTAAAACAATGGTTATTATGGTCTTTATGGTTTGTTATTTAATTTAACTTATAAACAACCAAAATAAAACGTGTACTTTTGTTTAATTTCGTTGTCTCGTTTTAGATAAAGGTAGACCCGAACCTTCGGAGTTATCTCCGAAAAGTTCAGAGAGAATGTCGTGGCTTTAGCCAAAAATGTTCAGAAGATGGAGGTATAAATAAAAATTTTAAATGAGGATAAAGTCTCAAAAAATAATAATAATAATAAAATAATAATTAAAATATTTTTCAATTTTCAGCTGCTAAGTACCGTCCTTCTCGTTTTCGGTGTTTTATATGCTCGTAAACATTTTACACTAACAGGTTATTAATATTTCTTAACATCCATTCAATGAGGATTTATTGAAATTTGTATTAACTGTTTAATTAGAATAGATATTTGTTTTTTAGTTAAAAAATAGTTAAAAAATATTTATTGGGATTGAATATTTTTTTAGGACGAATGGCTCCAGACCTAGTTGGTTTTACTGCGGGACGAGAAATGTTCTCTGATGAATTTGATGAAGATGATGGAGAAAGGGCAGATGTTGTAGAGCCAGCCAATACAATTGTAGCCGTTGGCGATGGAGGGAATCGACCAGTTTATGTTTAATAATAAAATTAATATACATATACAAACATTATTTTAATTTTTGTCAAAATTATATTTAATTTATAGTAAAATATAAATATTTTTAACAAATATTGTTGTGTCGAGTATAGGGTTGGCGGATGCGGATATCCTATTTTCGGATCCGGTTCCGGAGATCGACTTCATTGGCTTCATTCACCTAATCACAGTTATCCTCTTAATCTCACTAGGTTCAGTGACATACGGGAGACTATTAGAAGATTTACGATATTTATAAATGAAATAAAATTTATTGAAAATTCATTTAGGACAGCAATGAGCAAATAATTCTAATTGAATACATTCCTCCTCTTGAGAACAAAATTCATCTTTACAAGACCAGCCATAATATTCAGACGGATCTTTGCCATTTTTACATTTTGGTTTATTGTCTGTGTTGTTATCATATATTTCTAAAAAGTTAATTTAAAATTAAAATATTCCGAACATACGTTGATTTGTAATATTACAACATTTACCAGGAACTGAGTTGTTTCGAAACAAAAAACCCTTAAAAATCGAAGGTCGGAAATCAAAAATAATAATTGGAAAATAATTTGCAGACACTGGTGAGTATGTAGCGCTCAGTCGGCGAAATGTGGCGCTCAAATTTTACAAAGGGTTATCAGACAATTATGGGGCGAAAATTTTGAGAATTTTGGAAGGGCAATAAGCCAGATTTCTCCCTTTTTCTGTTTACTAGCGACACTTGCCACGAAAATTCATTTCAATTGTTAAACCAGCAACTTTTAATTGTTAAGACAAAACAAAAAAATTCCTATTTGGGAAAATAAAAGTAACCACTCTTTACTTCCAAAAATTTTTTGAATAACCGATGGCCAAGAAGCCAGAATTCCCCCTTTTTGCTTTTAAAATCGAAAATATCACCAAAAAGTCAAAATTGGGAAACGAAATCGAAAGAAAAAACCCTAGAAAGTCGAAATTTCGAAACAACTCCGAGTGGAAAATCCAGGTAGGCATTTATAGCCTGGAGGGCACGACCATTTTGCATCCTCAGTCATATATTTGCATCGAATTGACTTTACATTTTCTTTTCCTAGATCACAATGAAGATGGAAATAGGTGAGGTCCTCTAAAGAAAAATATTTTTTTAATTAAAAAAATATACTCGGATGGGGACATTTGTTACTGTAGCATTGATCTTTAGATATAAATCTATTCCCATTTCCCCCACATCCTTTATAACCAAAAGGCATGCACAAATAATGTTTATTATCATAATACCACTTAAATTGTTATAAACGTTAACTTTATTTTTTAATAATATACAAACTTTCATTCCAGAATTATTAATTTCCAATCCTTCACCACAATCATAACCTTTATCGTAATGTTCTCTGCAATCGCGCCGGTCAAAATTATAAAATTCTAACCTTTTAGAATCACTTAAAAATAAAATTTGATTAATTTTTTAAAAGAATTAATAAAAAAACCAAAAACTTTCAATAAATGGAATTGGAGATTTCTGTTTAGCTTCTTCTAAAGTAATATTTATTGAATTAGTATTAATTAATAATAAAGAAATTAAAATTATTTTAATTAAAAAATTTTGAAAAGAAAAATTAAATTTATTTAAATTCATTTATTTGATTAAAAATAGAAAAATTACATTTAAAACAATTCCCAATAAAATATTTAAATATAGATGATACATTTTTACTTTACTCATAAATAAAATATACATTTTAATTCTAGAATACACATTTTATTTTTTAAAGGTTTTTTTATTATAAAACCCGACTCCCGATCCCAACTCCCGATGTCATTTCCCGACCCGACTCCGGTTTCCAGAGTTTTTTCTTCTCCCGAACATCACTACTGGGCTCCTCCTTCAGTCTCCTACATAGCTTTAGGAATTAAATAGCTATCTGTTTACATTATCATATTTTAACCTTTTTGTAGGCATCGTATTAGATTATGGGGGTTATTAAATAATCTATTTTTTAACTTGCAACGATACTTATGGGAAAAACTTCATTATATCCATAACAGAACTGTCAAATTTATTTTTTAATAATAAATACTTTTATTCCAGAATTATCAATTTCCAATCCTTCACCACAATCATAACCTTTATTAGGTTCTCCACAATCGCCCCCGCCATTATAAAATTCATAATCACTTAAAAATAAAATTATACAAATTAATTTTTTGAAACAATTTAAGGAAAAACCAAAAGCTTTCAATAAATGGAATTGGAGATTTCTTTTTAGCTTCTTCTAAAGTAATATTTTTTGTTTGAATTTTATTTAAAAATAAAAAAATAATTAAATTTATTTTAAATAAAATATTTTTTAAAAACATTTCTATTTTTTATTAAATTTTAATGAAAATATGTAGTTTTAAATAAAAATATTAAATAAAAAATGATTCATTTTATATGTATATGTAAATCCAATTTGGAAAATATTCATCGCCATCACGATTTACGTGAATCGTTAATCAAGTCGACAGGACACTGATACATAAGAAATATGTTTCAATTATAGAAGCACTTCAAAAGTTCGAGGTGGTTTCGCAGGGTACGAGGATTTCATTAGGAGTTGAGGGGTATCACTGGGGAGGGGGTATCCACTAGAAAAAATCGCTTGAAACTTTAAATTTAAATATTTTGTTGAAATCTAAAAGTACAAGCATTAAAAAACATTTTTTATTTATTATTTTGTTTTTAAAAACATTTAACGAAACAATTTTGTTTTTCAAAATTTTTGGCACACAAATACATATTAATTTAATAGTAAACAAAATTCCATCTAAACATTCTCAATTCGTTCTTTAATTTTGCACAATAATTTTTTTTGTTTTTGCTATTAAACAATAATAAAAACTGCTATTTATTTCTCCTCAAAAAAGTAAAATGACAGGTGATCAGGCTTATTCTCTCCTAAATCTTTTTTTAACATTGTTTTTTTTCACAATCATTTGCAATCCATCCAATTTTAGTATAATAAATCCCCTTCTTCTATATTTAAAATAACACGTGTTGTTGTTTTTTGTTATTAAGAAAAATATTTTTAGAAGGATCTCAATTTCCTCGTGCTTACTTTTGTTGATCACCTTCTATTTTACTAAAAGTAAGATTTTTTGTTTATTCAATCACCATTTTGTTTGCCTCGAGGCCTTCAAAGTTTGTATTTATTAATAGATAGAAAGATAAATAATCCGAAGAATACTACAAAATACGACAAGTTTGGGCTATATAAAAGGGATAGATTCAATCTAAGGATTAGCAAATAATCTCTAACGAACAATCAGCCTTAAAAATCCTTAAATTCTAAACAATTTTTGAGAACCCAAATATTTTTCACAATAAATATTAAGCATTTCTATTACAAATTTTAAACATTAAATTTTTAGAAAACATAAAAAATCTTAAAATTTTTAACTTCCAAAAATGTTGACTGCTCATCGTATTCCTGTAAGCCACGACGAATCAAGTCCCAAACAATGGGACTGGCCTCTACAACATAATGATGGTGTTGTTAAGGTCCAGGAAAATTCTGATAATTGGGAGGTTGATTTAGATATGTCATTCTTTGAGCCAAAAGAGATTGAAGTGAGTTTGGAAATGTAGAAAATATAAATAAATGGAAATATTTTTGAAGGTAAAAGTAATTGGGGATTGTCTCAACTTCCATTGCCAACATGAAAAGCGTAGCGATGTTCACGGAGGAACAGTGAGTCGCGAAGTTAATCGAAGCTATCGACTTCCTGACGATTTGGACCGTAACACAATTAAAGTAAAAAATAATATCCAAAATTAATTTAAAAAATTATTTTTTTAGTCTCATTTGATGCAGAATGGAGTGTTGCGTGTAACTGCCAAAAAGCGTCATTGAATTGTTTTTTGAGAAGAAAAAAAGAATTAATGATTTAATGAATAATATTCAAATAAAATTAAATAATATTTTCTTTTTACATACAATGCGCGATTAAATATTTAAATAAATAAAATGTTTTTTTATTAAATAAGGGAGAAGCTTTCTACATACACTGCGGTGCATATGTTTATGCACACTAGTTTTTTGTTCATAAGTTTATGCACACTTATTCAAAAAATATGTTCTATATGGCAATCGAAAGCTCTATCTGTATCTCAGTTGACATGTTTCTGCATTTTTCGAAATTCTGATATTCTCGAAAACTTTTCGACCGGTCTAACAGGTACTACATTTTCAACTTTTCGAAGAAATTTTTTTGAGGTCTGTAAAAAATATATGTGATTCTCCTCTAGATTCTACATATAATACAAAAAAATCATCCAAATCGGTCGAGATTTGACCGAGTTATGAATTTTTAAAAATCTAAAAAATACCATATTTTTGCCATTTTTCGTCAAAAAATCGCGTTTTTTCGATTTTCAAAAAATCATATCTCTGGACCGAAAAAAGATATTTCTAAGCGGTTTTGTGATAAATACTCAAAAAAATATGCTCTATCAAATGGGTTTGTTACATTTTTTCCGAAAAATTTTTCCGAGGATATGGGATTTGGTATATCCGGTAGATCCGGATCATCTCGGCCAATTTTCATTTTCATGGAAAATGCAGAAAAATGTCAACTGAGATACAAATAGAGCTTTCGATTGCTATATAGAACGTATTTTTTGAATAAGATTGCATAAAATTATGAACAAAAAACTAGTGTGCATAAACATATGCACCGCAGTGTAGAAAGCAAAAAAAAGAATGTTAACAAAAAAACGTAACAAATAATTTTATTTTAGCCTACAAAATCTAAATAATAAAATTGTAACTGATTAAAAATTCTGGGATTATCATTAGTGTTTCTATGCCTAAATTTAATACTAAAAAAACTTTCTCTATAAATTTCAAAACTTAAAAGAGTAATATGAAAATGACTAGTTATAATAAAATATACTAAAACTATGTCTAAGAAATTAAAATGAACGGAGCGAATACAAAATTAAAAAGTAATTCAAATGCGTTGTTTAAACGAGCCCATATTTTACGTCTTCCTGATTTAACGCTAGTCAATCGAAGATGTTTGTATTTGTCAGAAGTCAGCTAGAAAGATTTTGAATTATTAAAAATTTTTATGGAAGTTTTGAAAAAGAATGGTTTGAAATTTGTTCAGGAGTTTAATAAATTTATCTTTCACCTTTTTACAAATTAAACATTCAAGTTGAAGCAGTCTAAGACGTGGCGGATATCGAAATACTGGATAACTGTCAAAGAATGCAATAAATCTAATAATGTCCCCTTCATCCAAAAGTCGTAATATTTCACCAAAAGTGTGTTGAGCTGTTAAAAGTAGTTGTCCTTTATTGCCGCTGATTTGAAATTTTTCGCCATAAGGGCCACTGACCTTTGAAAAGTTTTTATTTTACAAGTCGTCAGTCTCGGATTAGAGACGTCCGAGACTTCTTTTATTGAGAGTTTTTGGTTTTGGGGTCAAGTCTTGGTCACGATTTTTTGAGGTTCTTAAAGAATTTGCCCTTTGTAGACTTTAAGGTAAATTAGAAAATTTGATCTTGTAAAGATAAATTCGTTTAATATTTATGGCTCACTTCCAATTCATAAGTATAATGATTGTGTTGAGCAAGACTACACTCATTCGAATGCAAATCTTTCGGTATAGCATCCTCATCAGTGCTGTCAGTATCATAAAAACAACGAATAGCCTGTGCCACAGAATCAGGCAAATAATCTAGCAAAGTCTCAAAAGAATTATCGATATCGGCAATTCGAACAGATTGGACAGTTCCTTTCCAATTTATAGCCATTCCTTAATTTGAGGAAAAAAAAATAAATTTTTTAGATTGAAATTGAGTAGAATGAATAATGAAACGGGATCTCATTAAAATTCCAAAATCAAGAGGTTCAACAGAAAAAACCTTTCATTTGAGAACAATGCATTTGTGAATGTATTTGATTAGCTCCATTCATTGCACAATGATTCTCAAATTGAGGCCAAGTAAGATTAGTTAATTCAGAAGAAGCATCAAAAGAGGAAGGGCTTTGATAAAGAAAAGAAATTACAGTTAAAGAACCAAGCAAATAAACAAAAAATAAAATTAAAACATTTTTTGTATTGAAGAAATTAAATACTAAAAATAAAAGAAATATTGAGAAATAAGCAAAAAACAAACATTTAATTTTGTATTTTTGTAAAATTATTTTATAACATTTTCTAATAATCAAAGGAAGTAAAAATACAATTATTGTAAAAATAATTTTAAGTAAACTGATCTGAAAAATAGAAAATTTAAATTTATCTTAATTTAGATTTTCTAAAAAATCAAACAAAACCCACAAAATCAATTGTCCTTTTTACTTGTGAAAATAAAATTCCACAAGCCAAAGTAGCCCCAATATAATTAGGCAAAACAATAAGAGAAAGAAGAGCTATAGCCAATAAAAGATTTGTTATCGAAAATTGTTTAAATCCAATCAAAACCATTGTAAAAGCAATGTTTGACCAAATAAGGCAAATAATATATGGCAAAAGAGATTTTAAAAAAGAAACAAAAAATCTATTTGAAGAAGGATATTGACGGGATTTCCGTAAAGCGATTAAAAATAAAATTATGGGAATAACAAAAAGTGACAGAGAGGCTAAGCCAAAATTGAGACGAAAAGCTCCTTTAAAAAGTTTTTAATTATAATAAAAAATAAATATAAAATTTATACCAAACTTCCAAGAGAAAAATGGTCGCCAAATAAATCTTTTGCCGATTGAAAATTTAATTTTTGAACTAAGGACAGGCAAACTATAAAAATAAGGAAATGATTATTACCTTAGATTAAGACAGCTTTCCGTCCCCCGACGATTTTTTGGCAAAAACCTCGACACGAACCTCAAAGGCTCTACGACGACGCCCATCCCCGTGCGGGCAAACCCTGACCTGACTCCAGAACCCGACGATTTTTTTTGGCAGATCCCGACACGAACCACAAGTCTCTACCCCGGCAAACCCCGATCTCCAACGATCCCGACCCCGACGGCTCGGAAAGCTACCCTACTTTAGATTAAAAAATATTTTTTAATTAATTTATTAGACAATTTTATATTTTAAAACTTACAAAGAAATAAAATTTGCAAATAAAATAGTTATTAAACCCCAAAAATTAAAAGTTCCATCAGACATTAATTCAACAAAACTAATTCCAGTAAAAAATAAAGCAATTCCACAAAATATTAAAGAATTAGGCACAGATTTGTCAGATATTCCAATGCAAAAAAGGAAAAGAAAAAGTGATAGAAAAAAATTTAAATAAGGAGAAAGGCTGCCAATTAACAGTTTTTCTTCTTCGTTGATTTCAGTAATTTTTTCTAAAAAGGGGAAGCAAAGTTTTTATTTGATAGGAAATTTATTTTAAATTAAATTATTATTATCCAATAAAGTATTTTTTTAATTATTTTTTTAATTTCCTTAAAATATTTAAGAATTACCTTCACTCTCGAGTAATAATTCTTTTTCTATATTTTCTTTAAAATTCTTTCCTTGATCTTCCGATAAATTTTTGGATTTATTTTGAAAAATTTGTACAAATCGTTCCCAAAAAGCTCGTTTATCATTTAAAGATGTTTGTTTTCTAAATATTTTCAAAGTAAAATAAATCATTGAGGCAAATGAAAAATGAGCTAAAATAATTGGTGATGCATTGAAAATTGTGTTTAGTCTACAAAAATAATTGAAAATAAAATTTAATTTTTATTATAATAATTTAAAAAAATTGTTTATTTTCTCATATTTAATCATGTTAGATTTCACCTCAGCCCAAGAACGATATATGGGAGGCAAAAATAATTTTTAATTGATGCTTGGGACTATATCGGGTACGGAATCTCAACTCTTCCTATATTAATTTATATTTAATTTAATCTTTTCTCGATATTTGGAGATAACCAATATTTTTGTTTAATTCCCTATAAACCCTTTTTTAAAGTTTAATTAATTTGTAATTAAATTTAAATTTTTTTAAACAAATCCAACCCAATAAGTTGAACAAAACAAATCAACACAAGAGTTTGTACTTGATGTAAGGGAACAAGAGCATAAAAAAGCGTGTGCCATTGTTGCTGCAATTTTTCAAGTAAATAATCCAAAATTGAATCCAACATTCCAAGTCCCTAAAATTAAAACAAACAAAATTTATTTTAAATTATTGTAGAAATTTTTTAAAACTAAATTTAATTTTAAATTCAGATCAAATCCAGAGTAGTAATTTTTAAAAATTGATCAAGTCCTTAATTTATCCCTATTTGTAATTATTCTTTAGTTTTAATTTAAGATAAGTTCGAATTAAATTAAAATATAAAAATTTATAAAATTTTTATTAAATTTTTGTTTTTAACAAATTTTTAACTTAATCAGAGTTAACCTAATTTATATGTATTTTTCTAATTTAATAATTATTCAATAATTATATTAATATAATTTTAATTTTTTTAAAAACCTTTTTTGAATCATTTTTCTTTTCAGCTTCCTTTTCAATAGCTATAATTAATTTTTCTAAAATTTCTTCCTCCTTTTTCTCATTTTTATCAATAAAATATTCATTTATGTCAACATTATGTAAAAAATTATCTATAGCACCTTTAATTTAAATTAAAAACTTTTTTCCAAAAAAAAATCCCAACTTTTTTGTTCATCATCTGCAGAAGAACTTTTCAAAGATTTCAACAATTCCCTCGCACTTTTTTCGTTTGGTTGGTTTTTTACAACATTAAAAATTCGTTTAGCTGCATCTCTAGACCATCTTTCTTTGAAAATTAATTTTTTAATTTTTATTTTTTAATTAAAAAACCATTATCGCTTCGACGAAATTTAGATTGGGGCAAATCTTTTTTCCATCGATTTTCTCTTTTTTCTTCATCAGAAGAGTCTGTAGACTTTGCAAATACTTTAGAACCTTTCATTTTTTTGAAGATATATTTTATGGAAATTGACAGAAAGATTTTAATAAAAAATGAAAATCTTCAAATTAAGAAATTTATTAACTAAAAAAGTATTGGCTTTAAGTCCTAAAATAAAAATAAAGCCTATAAATTGGCCAGATATTTTCTCTTTAGCTTGGAATATACGAATCAATACTTAAGCCATTGAGTGTTTAAAATAAAAATATAAAATAAAATTTTAAAAGTAAAATTTCTAAGGAAATAATATTTATTTTTTATTAAGTACAAGGCGAATAGTTGGGCAGAATTGAGTAAATATGTAGTAAATTTTGTTATTTAACGTTGTTTGATAAAATAGTGGAAAAAATAATGTTTGAAAATTCTGAGACAATAAAAATTATAAACAAATTTTAATAGCGTTGATGGCAAATATTAATTTCAAATATGGAATTATTATATAGTACTGCACAAAAGTATAAAAACACTTTCAAAAAGCTTATAACTTGGAACATACTTGACCAAATTATAGGAAATTTTGTGTAAATATGTGGATTATAAAGAGAAACACGATTAAATAATTAAAATTTTAAATTTTTTAAAACATCTCTCCAAAAGTTAATATTATTAAATTTTTTTATAGAAAATATTTTTTATAGAAAAATGTTAAAAAAAATTTTTTTTTCATTTCTTCATTTAATTTCTAAATATTTCCTACATATTAATTAATAACTTTAATTTATTAAATAAAAAATTATTTTCTTTCTTCCTTTTTTTTTTGCAAAATTATTATTTTTTTTTGAATATTTTGTCTATTTTTTTTTGCAAAAATTTAAAAATATATTTAAATCCTTCAAAATTTCAATTTTTTCACAATTTCACTGCTTGCGCATTCGTGCGTCAACAAAAATTCTTTTCTTTTATGAACCATGTTTTTATATTTTTGTATAAAATATTTAAAATAAATAAAGGGTTATCTAAAGCTTTCGAGAATTTTTGATGAATTAAATAAAAATTTCCGTCAATTCAATTGAAAAAGAAGGCAAAATAAATATTTATTTTTTTAACAAAAGAAAGATTAACAATTCTATTTTTGAAGTTTTTTTTGTGAATTTGTAAATATTTTCTGAACTTTTATTATGAAATAACTTTTCAAAGCTTTTAACTGCAAAATTTTGATTGAGAAAAATTTGTTTATAAATTGTTGGGAAAAAACTAAATATACACAAACATAAAAAATTTAAAGTTTTTTGTGGTTATTTTTTCTAAAAATTTTTAAATAAATTATTTTAAAATTATTAGGGTTGCTCGAAAGATCGAGCGAGCCGAGGCTTTTCAGCTCGAAAACGAACCGAAGCTCGAAGAAGTACCGAACGTCGGCTCGAACCGAAAACGGCAACCCGAGTTATTATATAGTTAATTAAGTATCTAATGAGTAGCCCCAATAAATATTCCAAAAATAATTTTGAAAATAGATTTAACTTATAGCAAAATTTTGATGTTTATTGTGATAAATTTTGCTTAATTAAAACTTTATTTAAAATTTAAGTTAATTTAAATATTTCCTTTAATTTTATTAAAATTATGCCTATCAATTTGTCAATGAAAATTTCCACAGTAATGTATGTTTTTTTAAAAAATTATTTTTTTTTAATTTCTTGGAAATTTTTTTATAATATTCAAATTAATTAATTTAATTTTTAAAAGTTTGTTGTCAATTTTGTCGTTAGTTCTGCTTGTTGATATGTCTTGTGGTCAATATAATTGGGTAATATTTAATCAAAATTTTTATTAATCATTAATTTTTTATTAAAGAGCAATTATCCTTACAATTACTACTACAACCCCTACAATTATAATTATTATCGTCCAAGTGAAACTAAGCAATCATCTTCAGATTCAGGAACAAGCTATTATCAATATGATCCTTCCAGTGGGACTTATAAACTAAAAACAGTAAATTTTGATATTTGTTATCAATTCTGTCGTTAATTCTGCAAAATTATTATGAAAATAATTTTTAAAAATCGTTTAAGAAAGTTTTGAATATTTTAAATTAAATTTTCGTATTTATTAAAAAATAAAATTAAAAATATTTTATTTTCAGGCAAATTCAGGTTATTATTATATACCTGGATATGGCTATGTCCTAACAGACAATTCAAAATCCTCTCAAGACTCTTCCTCCTATTCTTACCGTTATAATTATAATTACAAAAATTATTGGCCATATTACTATTACTACAATACTGGAAGTGATAGTTATGGAGGCAAATGATTTGAAAAGAAAAAAAGAAAAATATGAAAAAATTAGTTAAATATAATATGTTAAATAATTGTCATTTTTAAACAATAAATATAAAAAATATTTTATTTAAAAAATTTAAAAATTGACCTTAAATCAAATGTGCATCAATTCAAATTAATTTTGCGAAATTTCTCAAAATGCTTTTTCACTTTCAGAAAAAGAATATACTCCTATTAGTTAAGTGAATCCGATAGTCACAGATTCAAGCGTTGTCGGATTTTTAGGATTTTTTCTTAGTATTTTTAGCTTTCTCTTTTATCGATAGGGTTAAATAGTATTTCGTGTCATTTATAGTATTTCGTCATTCATAGTATTTCGTGTCATTTACCTTTTAGTTTCGAAAGTTTGAGCATAAGATACTCAGATCCAGATTTGTCTGGATCTGCCAACCCAAATTACAAACTTATTGTGTAAAAACAGCTCTTATTGTTAATATTTATATAACTGCATAAGGCTTTCATTAATTTCTTTATTTCAAGAAAATTTAAAAATCACATCTCTGTTCAATTATTTTGATAAATTTTATTTTTTTAAATCATTATTTTTTGGCCTTTCCAGTTTTCTTAACATTCAATCCACGCTCTTTAAGTTTCGCATCCTTCTGTGCAACAGGCACTAAAGCACAATTACCTAAAGAACCGGCACAATACCAACGAGGACCATAGCGATTGAAGAATGATTGTTCCATAGCTGCACTCCCTGCTTGTAGTTTAGCACCGCAATAGCAGCAATTAAAACAGCCTTTATGAACTAAAATAAATAAAATTTTTGAATTATTTTTAAAAATATAAATTTACTAATTTCTCGGTCAACCATCAATTTATCAGCTATTTGAACTTTCTCGCCACAAAAGGCACAATTTTTAATATCAGGATCACCGGCACAACCAAAATTCATTTTTAACTATAATTTGTATTTAATTTTATTTTAGCGTCTTTAAAAATAAAAAAAAGTAAACAATAAAATATATGGTTTATAACTTAAAAAATAAATAGATGCCTTATTCAGACAGATGCCTTATTTTTCGAATAATTTAAAGTTTAAGCTCAAAATTTTAAAAGTAAAAGTTTAAAATATATAAAATAATCTATGTACGTAGGCGAATAATTTAGAAAATTTTCATTCCTCAAAGATAATTGTGACAGCTGGCAACAATTTATATGAACATATTGGATTTAAAGAAAGTTTAAGATAATAGCAAAAATTAACTAGGAAGAGAAGGCGTTGGCGTAATTTTTCCAGATTTTTCCATTCTTTTTTTTTTAATTTTTGGGTACATATTTTAAAATTTTTTAGAAGAAATTATTTAAAAAAATTTTAGCTTTAAAAATTGTATCTGTAAAAACCATGGCATAAATATTTAAATTTAATTGAGAAAATAAAGATTTCTAATTATTTTTAACAAATCTTTAAGATATATTCCAAATAAAATAATTTATTTATTTTAAATGACAAATATTTTTATTAAATTTTATTTAAATAAATATGTAGGTATTTATTTTTTAAATATTTCCTTCTTCAACAATTTTAAAAAGGTTTAGGCTTATATTGAATCCATACAGGATCTCCAATACGAACACGTCCAGGTTTAACAATAGTCATATTAACACCAAATATTGGACTTTCCTTTAAAAATATTTTCTTTTTATTTTTTCACAATTAATTTTTATTATAAATATTTAAATAATTTCTACCTTATATATCTCGTATAATTTGCCAGGTGCAAGTCTATATCTAAAAATATTAAAAATTAATTAAATGAACAAGAATTTAAAACTTAATTTCTCAACATTTTTATTGGCTCCATTTTTGGACTTTTTTCTCCTGAATCTGGATTTACAGTTGTCAAAACACAACTTTAATAAAAAATTTTAGTTAAAAAATTTAAAAAATTAACTAACCGAGTACAAGGTTTATAACAAATAAATTCTGCATCTCCAGCCTTAACACGTAACCAACTATCCTCATCATATGGAGGCAAACCAGATATTACTAAAGTTGGACGAAAATTTCGAGAATTAATACATTCACCTTCCTTTTTTAGATGTTTATTTAAATCATTAACAGATTCTGAAGCGAATGCCATAAATGAAGCTAAATCATGATAAGCAATCTGAGAAAATGCATACGAAATATTATATTTAGCTAATTTAACGAATAAAGATTATCTCGATAATCATATCACTACCAAGATTATGAAGTTCGAAATATAGAGAAAAGGAATTCTTAATAAAAACACTTCTTAATTGTTTGTAATTAAAATTTGATATTGAAATTATCAGTTTTATCAATTTCAATAATCAAATCCTTCAGCCCTGTCTGAAACTAGATTAATTAAATTGAGGTAAACCAGATGCCACTAGATTATTTGATCGTATGATTGCTTTGCCAATCCTCTCATCTCAACTCAGTCCAAAAAATCAAATCAAACATAAAATTTAATTAAAAATATTTTTACATTTTCTTGAAGCTCTGGAACATCATTATTCAACCAAAATTCACTCTTAGTTTTTTCATCTCTTTCAGTATATAATTTTTCCGGTTCTCCATACCTTTTAATTTATAATTTTTTTATTTTAAAAATATTTACCAAATTAAACGTAATGCTCTTTTATCTCCAACTTCAAGAAATTCATCAAATGCTTTACCAATCTCATCGCCACAGTCAAATCCTTCAGTACGTGCATTAGAGAATAAACTAGAGGGTGGTGGAGAAAGAATTTCTTTAGATGATTCTTTAGAGGATAAAAAAGGCATTTGACGCCACTGGGACGCAGGCCAAGACCTGCATTTATTTTTAGAGGAAAACTAAAACTTAGGGTTGGTTGTCAAAAAATAATAATAATAATGGTGTCCAAAGTCGAAACTGCTTTTCTTTTAACATACAAAGTGTTATGCTTAACTATGCCTTAAATTTGGGATTAATTAATATTCCAAACATTAAACAGGTAAATGAATAATTAATTTTTGTTAGAGTGTTGACTATCCAATTTATAAATTAAAAAATCTCCATGTTAACCTACCGTGCTCTCCTTATTTCTCCTTTAGCTCTAACTTGTTCAAGGTCTACTTCAACAACTTTATCATCTTAATTTTATTTTTTTGATTAATTTTAAATATTTTTTTCAAATTTTTGCCTGGTGGAAATTTAACAATTAATTTTCCTTTAATTACATGTGCTTCAACCAATACCATCTTTGAATAAATTCGAGCTGTCAAAAATAAATTATCTTGCATAGAATCGACTAACTAAAAATAAATTTTATTAAATAACTAATAAATATTTAAAAAATAAATACAAGAAAATGTCTGTCAAATTCCTCTCCATTAGAACCTCCCCGTTTATTACAATCAATCCAATCAACCTTGAATAAAATAAGAATTATTAACTTAATCCTTAAATAAATATTAGTTAAAATATTCCACCTTATTAGGTTTGCATGACTTGATTGGATATAGAAATAATTCATCAACTCTTCCAGCTTCTACAAATTCTCTAAATAAAAAATTTTTTTGAATTTATTTATTCATTCTAAAATGCCTAGTTCTCTTTCGTTTATAAAGCAGATTCTTTGTAGTAAACCAAGCAATAGTGGTAAATGTAATTAATGTTGCTGAGCTTAAAACTATTAGAGCAAAACGGCCATTTGATGTTTGAAATAAATTATCATTTGCCATTATTTTAAATTTTTTTATTAAAATAATCTATTTATTTAGTATATCAAAGATGGAACGCGTCACATTATAAACGGAAGAGAGCTCATCCCCGGCATTTACTATTTTTTATTCATCAAAGAAAAGTAGCTGTTAACTTTTTAGCTCCTGATTTCTGTTATCGGTTTTATTAATTTAAGGGTTTTAAAAAATATTCAATTTAAATTGATGGAATAAACTAAATATATTTAAAAACTAAACATACTCTCAACTTTGAGTAAAGGAAAAATTAAAGTTAGTATTTTACTAATTTGTAAGAATTATTTATTGAAAAGAACTGGAATTAAATAATGCACAGCAAAATATATACATACGATTTTATCAATGTTATTAATTAAAATAAATCAATTTTTATTATCAATTAACTGTAATAAAAGATAAAAATTTAAAAAAATAAAAATAATTAACATTGTTTTTTTAAATAAATCTATATTAATATTTACTTTTTCTAGAAGCATAGAAAATTTTTTGACAATTTAGAAATGTTGTGGAAAAAATTTATCTGGAAATGTGCACAATGAAATCAGAAAATGAAAATACTTTTTAAGATAAAATACCTATCATTGCATTATTTAAATAAATTTTTGTTGAATGTGGCTTTCATAGATCTTAAATAATTTTATATTTATTTAATTAAAGGCCAAAAAGAAATTTTAAATTAATTAAAAACAATAGATAAATATTTTTATTTTAAAATTCTATGTACAGAGATTAATAAATTAACAATAAATGTTTTTAATTTTTTCTCTGTACTACTTATAATATTATTATTTAAAGTATTTTTTAATTATAAATTAATTATGTATATAATTAACATTATTCATCAAAAATATTAAAAAAAGAGTAAATATGTAAATAATTAGACAGATTAAATTTAAAAAAATTATTTTTAAAAATATAAACAAAAATTAATTATTAATTTAATTTTTTATAAATAGTGAAAGGCAAAAGAACGGGATTAAATAGATATTTATTAAAAATATTTTTACACTTTACGTATATTTAATTTATTTTATTTTTCATTTCCATTTTAATAAACAAAATTTATTTAATAAATATTTTTATGTCTTTTGAATTTTTTTTGTTAATTTATTTTAAAAATAATTATGTGACGTTAATTCTAAAATTAATAAATTATAAAATATGTTATTTAATTATCTTGATATTTAATTATATAGACAAATATATATATTATTTTCATTCCGTTGATATTTAAATTTCCTCTTACAAAGTTGAATAAGCAGACTTTCCAAATTAAATCATTTAATTAAACCCTTATTGGATCAACATATATTATAATATATTTAAAGTGTCATTGCTTTTCGTCCTTTCTAAGTATACCTAGATAATAATAATTCAATTTGTAACTCATCAAAATAAATTATTGTATGTATGCCTACTTCACATATCCTTAGATATGTTAGGTTTCTGGCAATTTTAATTTTATATTAGATATTTTGAACAAATTTTTAGATCATTTAAACAATTTATTAGTTTTATTTTCACGTCTTTTAAAATACAAAAATCTATTTTCTTTTAATTGAAGATTACGTATATCTACTTAAATATTTATTTAATGAGCACCTTTTTACATATTTACTAGTCTATTATTTATTTATTGTACTTTGTAAAGATAAAGAGAAGAGAAGTATTAAGAATGAAAAAAAAGTTTTTAGCATTAACAATTAACTAATTGGACATTACTCGAGTTTAAAAAAAAGAAGAAGGAAGGAAAAAATATTTAATTTATATCTTTAAAAAATTTGTTAGAATTTAAAATTTATTTAAATATTTTAAAATTAAATATATTTAGAGCCATTTTTGGTTAAATTTAATCATTCTAAAAAGAAAGTATCCATTTATTTATCTATTTTTGATTTACCCAAAAATTATTTAAAATAACCTTTAATTAAATGAATTTAGAAATATGTATATTTTAAGAATTACAAAGTGAAATAAAATGTTCCGAAAATACATAGTACTCGAATTATTATTTTAAAAAATTGTTTAATTTTTTACTGCTCCTCCTCTTAAATCTAAATTTTTTTATTTTCATACTCTTTGATTATTAAATTTTTTATTTAAATTTTTATAAAATATTATTAAAATTTGCCAAACCAATTAAAATAAATCTGTCAATTCTAAGTAAAAATAATCATCTGCTTAGCTACAAACAAATAAAATTTTCTTTCTCTATTATCAGTATTGGGGTAATAATTTCCACCCTCATTCTAATTATTCTTTTATGAAAGAAAAAATAATATTAATATTTAAATAAATAATGAGGATAAATAAATAATACATTTTATTACGAGTCTAATAAATAATCTTTTTAATTGCGATTTATTTTACAAAAGTACATATTACTAAAAGTTATTAAAAATATTTTTAAATATTTTAATAATAATTTGTACTGAACTACGTAACACGAGGACAAAATTACAATAAAGTTAGAAATAAAATAAGGCCTCCTTTTTATCGTTTTTGGGAGGTGTTTAAAAATTATTTTTAAACTTAAGAAGCGGGAGTTCAAATAAACAAGTTTTTATTATACTAAGCTTTCTAAAATAGAATCTGAATTCTGAGTTATATTAGGTCCCAAATTAAATAATTTTTTATATTTTTTGCTGACATTTTCAGAATTACTTATCAATTAGAATTGTTTATTTTTTAACATTCCTTTAATAAAATTTAGTTTAAATTACACAAATATTTAAATATTCTCCATTACAGCTTTTAATTTTATATTTTAAAGTTTTATTTTCAATTCTTTAAAGTACATAAGTATTTTAAATTAAAAAAGTAATAAACACTTTCATATCAAATAAAAATTTTAATTAGAATATTGTAAGTGCAACAGTTTATTTACTATTAAATTTTTTATAATTCTTAGAATCGAAAAAAATTTTATCTTTATAATTATTTACATATTTCATATTCTCATACTAAAAATAACTAAATAATTTAATATATTTTATTGTTTCCCCATTGTTTAGAGGTTTAGTAAATATATTAAATTAATAAATGAAAAAAGGATAAATCATGTAAAATGTAAAATCGGACCTCAATTATGCATCCGACTTTGACGTAATTTGAAGTAATACACACGTGAGGTTAAACGAGGACATTTAATCAAAAACCTTCATGGAGGACGTAATATCGAGTTTTCTATTTATTATTTTGACAGAAAAAATAATATACATTATCATAATAGCAAGGACAAATTGACCATAGTTCATAGGTTCTTTTATTCTTTTTGTCCTTTCTTCTATGTATAATTCCCAAATCTTTCAATAAATTTTTATTTCTTTATAAAATTATATAATAATTAAATTTATTTTATTCACAAAAAGCATTTATGTAACATTTTATTCTAAAGAAAAAACCTTGAATAAATCCAGAAAATTTATTTAAATCTTTTGTAAAAATTCTAAATTTGTCCCAAATTTACATAATTTTTATATATTTTTTAAAATTTATTTAAATAATTTTATTTAAATAATAATTTTTGTGTTTTAATATTTTTAAAATATTTATCAATGGAATTTTTTATGAAAATAATTAAAATATTTAATTATATTAAATAATTTAATTATAAAAATTTAAATTTAAAAATAAATTAATTAACAGTAATTACATGTTATTTACATATATTTATTAGATATTTAACAAAAAAACTTTTTTTCATTTTAACATTTCATTTAACATTGTCATAAAATTTCAAAAAAATGGAAAGTCTTTATTTTAATGTTTAATCTGTTAAATTTGTTTTTATCTTTTAATTTAAGGAAATAATTTTAATAAAAAATTTTAATAAAATTAAATAGAAAAATTAGACCTTTATTTAGATAAGAATTTATCTCCTCTTATTTTCTAACTAAAAGTTCGACTAAATTTTATTAAATTTTATTAAAATTTTTAATAAAATTATTCAAATAACTATAGGTATTTAAATTTTTATTTATTTAAAAAATAATATATTAAAAATAATTACTCATTAAATATTCTCTCCTCCCTTCACCTGCTTTTATTATTACCCTTAAGGGAATTATTTGAATGACTGCTTTCAAATAAATATTATTTTATTTTATATATGCCAATATTTTTTTAAATAATCTATTCTCATTTTAATTATTTTTTATTCTTCATTTCAATATTCTTTCCCATCAAAAACATTAATTATTACTGAAAATAAATCTTCCAAAAAATAATTTAATGACTGGTTTCTTTAATTATTAACTGGTAAATCCTTTTTAGCTTAAGTTTTGGCAGACTCCCTGTTTTCGATTAATCCAAACCGGTTTCGGGAATTATTCAATAATAATTTTTAAAATACTTATATCTTTAAAGTTCCCAAAAATTTTCTAACAATTGTTTTTTAATAAAAATTTCTGACTTAACTTTTGGTCTTGAGTCTTCCATTTATTTCGTTTTTCGATCTACCTGTATAGAAAAAATTTTCATTAAATAATACATATTTTTTGCAATAATTAATTTAAAATAAAAAATTGTCTAGAAAATTTTATTTCCTCATTTATTCTTCATTTCCAAATTTGCCGAAAAATGATATATTTTTCCCTTTTTTATTGAAATATGATATATTTGTATATTAAATATATACAAATTTGAAGAAAATTTTTGAACAATTCCTAAAAATAGATATTAAAATTTTAAAGCTACTTTTTTTGACTTTTATTCTTTCAATTTTTAAAATATTCTTTGAATTTAATTTTAAAAATAAAATTAATGATGAGAA